GCTTCCATGTGTTGGACTAGTGAGGAAGTGTGTTCCAGCTTTTTGACTGCATTTTTGTGTTCATACAGGCGGGTACTTATTCTTCTATTGGTCTGTCCAATGTATGTGGCCGGGCATGATGCACAGGGGATTTCGTATATGCCTTGGTTTTCCAGGTCAATTTTATCTTTGGGGTTGCTAAGGATGGCTGCTATTTTTCTGTCTGTTTTGAAGGCAGTCCTGATGTGATGTCTGTGTAGTACCTTACTAATTTTGTCTGTAGTACCTCTTATGTAGGGCAGGACAGCTGTTCCATAGGTCTGTTCATCTTCTGGGTCTCTATTATGTTTCAGTGTGTTTTTGTGGATCAAGCTGGTGATTTTGCTTTTGTGGAAGCCGTTGGCTGTCAGTACTTTAGTCAGGGTGCATAGTTCAGTCTTAATGTGTATATATATATACACATACATATATAGATAAATAGATATATATATACACACATATATAAATAGATATATAGATAGATACACACACACACACACACATATTGCCAAGTGCTTTAAGAGTTGTAAATTTAATTTTATGAAGCTTCTCCTCTGGTAATACTGATTTACAAACTAGGGCATTTAAAACCTTTGCTAGACCAATACTTGAATACAGCTCTGCAGTCTGGAATCCGCACTGTATATCAGACATAAATACAACTGAGCAAGTCCAGAAGTATTTTACAAGAAGAGTACTACATTCATCTGTTTGCAACAGAATACCCTACACCAGCAGACTTGAGATTCTTGGCTTAGACAACCTTGAACTACTCCGGCTAAGATTGGACTTAAGCATAATACATAAAATCATGTTACAACGTCTTATCAGTTAATGAATATTTCAGCTTTAACAACAACATAAGAGCGCACAACAGATATAAACTAAATGTAAACCACTCCAAATTCGATTGCAGGAAGTACAATTTCAGCAACAGAGTGGTCAATGTCTGGAACTCACTACCTGATTCTGTTGTCACCTGCTCAAACCCCCACTCCTTTACCCTCAAACTAACCTCTATTGACCTCACCCCATTCATAAGAGGTCTGTAAGGGGCGTGCATAAATACACAATCGTCCCTACTGTCCCTGTCCTATTATCCCCAATTATTAGTTCCTATTTCTTGTATTTAAACTTGTTTATTCTTGTTGTATTGTTAGCTTTTGACAAAATAAATAAATAAAAATAATAATAATAGATAGATAGTACAGGTAGTCCACGACTTATAACAGTTCATTTAGTGATCAAAGTTATGATGATACTGAAAAAAGTGACTTATGACCGTTTTTCACACTTTTGACCCTTACAGCATCATAATCACATGATCAACTTTCAGATACTTGGCAACCAACTCCTATTTCTGACGGCTCCAGTGTTCCAGGATCATGGGATCACCATCTGACAAACAAAGTCAAAGGAAAAGCCAGATTCACTTGACAACCCAGTTACTAACATCAACTGCAATGATTCACATTAACTGTGACAAGAGAGGCTGTAAAATGGGGCAAAATTCACCTAACAAATGTCTCGCTTAGCAACAGAAATTTTGGGTTCAATTGTGGCCCTTAAGTTGAGGACTACTTGTATATGTATGTGCATATATGGGTATATTATATATACGAATGTGTGTGTGTGTGTGTGTGTGTGTGTATCTATATATATAAAAGTGAAATACCACTCATGCATCATCACAAAATCTCCAGAACTACAAAGCCTACAAGTTTGAAATTTGATACATATGTTCATCTTGGCTTCTCACTAAGAAAGAATTTTTTGAAATGACCACCAGAACATTAGTATTTCCTATATTATTATTATTATTAATGTGCTCTGATGCTAGGGAGTTGTACTCCCCTTCCCCACCTGAAAACAAATCTGTTCCAAATGCAAAGCACAGAGGAGTTTCAGTTCTATTTTCAGAGCAGCAACCAGCTTTAGTACAGAACAGTTGAGCTAAGCCACGCCCAGGCTCCTTGCTGTCTGCTTGCTCACACAGCAAATACTCTTCAGTTTCCAAACAGTTTCTCAACTCACACACAATGACGGGAAGCTAGCCAGATGAATACTGATGGATGTTGGTAGGCAGAGGCAGCATCCCCCCCCCAGTTTATTTTCCTCCCCAAAAACTAAGCCTGACCAGTTTTAAGATATGGAGTTAGTGTGTATACACCAGGGGTGTCCAACCTTAGTTGAAGTCCACAAGTCTTAAAGTTGCCAAGATTGGACACCCCTGGAATACACAAACACACACACAAACATATTCTTTTGAGAGCAGGTAACAAAATTTCATTTTTTAATGTGTGCCGGTTTTTAACGTGTGCCAATGGGTTCACAGAAAAAAGGGACAATAAAGGTTGCCGCCTTGTTTTCATCTCTCATCTTATTCTCCGAGTATTGGAGCCAATGGGGTAGTGGAGAAAAATAGAAAAAGAACTTCGCCTTTCCCCAAAACTTTCACAATTTCCTCCCCCATAAACACAGCCAGACACTGTAAAAATAAAATCGACTTAAAAAAAAACCGGAAGGTTTTAACAGGAAAATTAGGCGAGGGGGACGTTGTGAGGCAAGCGGGGAATTCCTCCTCTCTCTGGCAAATGTTCAGCGGACGTATTATGTAGAGTGTCTGTGATTCAGATTTCCCGGCGTGGATTTCTGGAAGCGAGCGAGGGCTTGGGAGGAAGCAGCCGCGGCCTCCACGTGCGTTCGCATCCTCCCCGGCCGCACGTGTCGGGGAGACGTGTCAGTGATAATCCTCGTTTTACACACCGGCGCCTCTTTCCATGCTCCCAACTCCCGCGCGCCTCCAGCCTGGGGGCGGGGGCGGAGCAGAAGCGCCTCCTGAGAAGTATGAATGAAGTGGGCGGGGCGAACCCTTTTGCTGTGAAGAGAACGCCGGGATCGCCCGGGGCAACCTTTGTTGCCGGCACAGGAAGTCCCCCGATTGGCCGGCGTGGTTATGACGACACGTTCTTTCTGTTTAGAAGGCCGGCCGAGCCTCCGTTCTCTCGCAGAGAGACGACGCGATTCCCTGGAGGAACCTTTGGAAGCCCGCAGGTGGAAAAAAAAAAAGAAGTCACCGACTCGCATCATGGCCAACCAGCGGGAAGAAAGGTCAGCGTGGGAACCTTACCCTGAGCCTGTTTGCTCCGGGGAAAAGGATTGCGGGAGCCGGGAAGGTCCTCGGTGAAACAATTAGGGTCCCTCCGCCTCTGCCATCAAAAAGGAGATAAAAATTTAGGGGTCCTTGTGGTGTTTGTGTATGTCTGGATTACAACTCCCATTATCCCCGACCGCAAATCGGAGTAGTCATGCGACACGTCTGGATGGCCTCGGGGTGCTGAAAGCGATTTTAAGGAGTCCCGGCTTTTAGGGGAGGTGGGGTGGGTGGAAACATCAGCGGACGTTTTTCAGCATCTTTTCCTTCTTTTTAAAGGGAGCCATTCCCGAAGGACCCCCTAAATTTTTATCTCCTTTTTGATGTAAGGTTTACAAATTTACAATGTAAATAATCTGGGGATAATAATCCTTGGAAGAGTCTGAGCTGTTGGGTAGATTATAACTGTTATTATTATTTACCATTGCGGTGGCTTCTATATGGAATCTCGCCCTTTAGCTGACCTCAAGTCTCTTGATCTCCATAAGGACAGATTTGTGTAATTGTTTTGGTGACCTTGATGTTCTTTGAATTCGGTCTCCGCCAGGTTTCTCATACTTGGGCAACTTTAAAATGGTGCAGTTTTCAAGTCCCAGAATTCCCTACCAGCCACTGGAGAATTGTGGGAGTTGAAGTCCACACATCTTAAATTGGGCAAGCTTGAGAAACCTTGGTGTAAGACTAAACTGTGACCTTTCCTGGTGGTCTCCCATCCCAATGCATTAAAGTTTCTCCTCCACCTCCCATCCCCCCAAAAACCGGCTGTGGTCTGCTATCCTCTGTGACATTTTCATCATCACCACCATCATTTTAGCAGTAGGAGTAGTAGCTTTTCCGTACAACAAAGTTAAGCAGTGCATGAACCAAGAGCCCCAGAGTTGAAATTAGATCCCAATTTTAATAGTGGATTATTTTAACCTGCCTACGTTTGGGGGTGGTGTTCTCCAGCCCCTCTTTTCAGGCATCCCCTATTGTGGTGGCTGTTGTGGTTCTTTACTTCTTTGCTGCTGAGCTCAATCCTCAGCTGTGGGAAAAGAAGTTGTCAAATGGGAATTGGAGTTTTGGGTAGGGGGAGAAAATTGAGAAAGGGTTCACCTTAGGGGGTTTAAGAGCTGGGCACAAGAGATGGAAATCATGGCAAGTATTGTACTTAATCAATTACATTAACATCTATGTAGCTTCTTTAGATCAAAAGATCCTATTTAAACACTTCATGCACCAAATTTAATTTATATATTTTATCCCGTTGTATTTTTATCCCCCACAAACAGTTAACTTCCTCCTGCTGCTTTACTCATAACAGTCTGGCAAAGTAGGGTGAGATTGCATGTAGCTTAACTTTCCCGTATATGAGAGGCAGAATTGGTTGTGCCCAGCCTTCCATCACCTACAACCCTCCCCACGGTATGCCAGGACTAGCTAGGAATTCTGGGAGTTGAAGTCCTAAAGTAGTACCGGAGTACAAAGCACCGGAGTACAAAGATTTTTCTGATTTAATCTACTCTTTGCAACCTGCGAAGTAAATTAGTGCTGTTATCAATCTATTCAGGTTGTGTATGTACATTTGTGTCCATTAGGCTTTCAGGAAGGCATTTGAATTAATGATCAAAATGATTTTTTGCCTTTGCTGCTAATATGTGCAATTAGAACATGCTGAGTGAAAAACTGAATATCCGTTTGAAGTGTGTGTTAATATGATGCATCATATTGAAAACTGAAAATTTTCTCTGGGGTCTGAACTAATTTGAGGCAAAAGAAAACTTGAGTAATTTTTAATACAGAAGGAGACTGAGAATGTTTTTATGACTTACAGTTCCCAGATTGCTCATCAACCCTGTTTTGATGTGGTTTCTGTGTCTTTCTGCCTGTAAAAACTGAAATTCTTGTTTTCCCCTTCACTGTTTGAGAATAGAGAGCCCGAAAATATTGAGTTTTCTAGAGTTTGCTTATGTGGTTTGGACAGAAAGTCCAAAAAGACAAGTCCTTGTCATGTGACTGCTGGTTTCTCAGATGATTTTTTAAAAATGAAGTTTGATTCCCATTAAAATGCCAATTTGTTTGAAACTCTAGAAAGCAAATACAGTGAGGTTCTCATGAAAGAGAATTAAGAGAAAGATAAGGGGAGAGAAAAGTGAGAAACTCAAATTTTTACATCCCAGTTAGATCCCAAGGCACATTTAGTATGGTAGTATGTTTTCCTTTTTTTAAATTTTTACTTGCAAGTAGTTCTTGACTTGCAACCGTTAGTTTAGTGACCTTTCCAAGTTACAGTGATACTGAAAAAAAGTATCTTCTGACTTTTATTCACATGACGGCTGCAGCATCCCCATGGTCATGTGATCAGATATTTTTGGTGTTTGGCAACTGACATGTATTTAGGACAGTTGTATTGTCCTGGGGTCATGTGAAACGCAAAATAAATAAAAATGTGATCACCATTTGTAACCCTCACACCCAGCTTGTGACAAGCAAGTCAGTGAGGGAATCCATTTAACGACTGCATGATCCTCTTAATAACTGCAGTGGTTTACTTAACAAATGTGGCTAAAGTTAGTAATAAGTTAGTAATAAGGGCGCAAAATTTAACAACTGCCTTGCCTTGCAATGGTAATTTGGGGCTCATTTGTGATCCAAAGTCCAGGACAACCTGTATTTTATGCTTGTACAATTAGCCTTTAAGAAAATGCAAACTGAAAGCATCAATTAAGAAAATGAAACCAAAGTAGTTTATATTTTATTATCGCTGGCTATTTTATCAGGATATAGCTTCAGAGATTCATCACTGTCCTTGGGGAATCTGTAGCAATGGAGAAAATCCAATAGGTCAAAGAACAAGAAAGAGACATAAAAATGTTGGCAAGGAATTAAGAGTTCAAGGTTTGGCAGTTTGGACTCCTGTTTCTCTTGGCCTCGCTGTCCCTGTTTAGCCTGGCTTGATATTAGAGTTATGGTTAGTCCATGTCAGTGCAGAAGAACATCCTGAATGAGTAATATTTCAATACAAGAGAAGCAAAGCTATGTTGTAATGATGAGTTACAAGGAATTTTATAAGCAACTTTGTTCTTTGTTGATGTCTTTTGGATTATTTATTTTGGCTGCAATTGATCTGATGATGCAATAGTTTTCTTAAAAACAAAACCAGAAAACTGATTCTTTTATAACCGGCCTGTTGAAACTCAGGGGTTGGGTGTTACTGACCAAACAGATGTGTTTGGTTGGGTTTTGTTTGTTTTTCAAAATAATTTTTAGGAAGAGATTTTATATAAAACAAATTTAGAATATGAATGGAAGAGAGGGAGGGAGGGAAGGACAGAAGGAAAGAAAAATAGATATCTGATAAAAAAGTAAAGAGGGGAAAAATAGAAAATGTATAAAGCAGTGGTTCCCAACCTTTTTTTCGCCCCGCACCCCTAAAGAAATTTCACTCGAACCTCGCACCCCCTGAAATTTAGACTTTAGGAACTACTGAACGCGTTAAATATATGGTAGGATTGAATCTTTTCAGCTATGTATGTGACGGCCACTAAATAACGATACTTAACTCTAAAATGAAAACAAAGTTAATCAATTGCATAATAAATAAATAAATAAAAATAAATAAATAAATAAAAATAAATAAATAAATTAATTAATTAATTAATTAATTAATTAATTAATTAATTGCCTGGACTTTTCTCACACCCCCTGGAATATCGTCTCGCACCCCAGGTTGGGAACCCCTGGTATAAAGGGTTTGCTTCCAACCTTCTTAATACCCATTACAGATAGATTTATTGTGTAGCCTTTTTAAGATATCCTAATTGCCTTCCTCCATTTTTCTCTTTCTAGTCAAACCCAAAGACCACGTTCATTCCCCCCCCCCCCCCCTTTTCAGCAAAAAGATTATGAAGGGTTTCCAGGCATGAATAAATACAATTATGAGCACATGTGTTTGGAAAATTTTATGATTTGAGAACATCTTTTTGGCTTATCTCAATGGTGAAAGCAGTTGTTTAAAAAAAAAGGGGTGGGGGAGATGTATATGGTTCCAACTCAGTTGTTGCCCTATAATAGACCAGGATCCTTAATCTAGAAAATAACTTGGTTTATAATTTTTGTTTTTAAAGGAGCAATGAAACAAGATAAAATATTACTTAAATTATTTCTAGTTTGTTTAAAAACTCAGGCTCGTAGAAGGAATCAAGTAAAACAGATTACGTGCCCAGCCAAATCCTTTTTTTAAACAATAGCTAGCTTTAGGGACATACATAGCTTTGTCAGCAAAACAATATCTTTGCTTGTCCCTTTGTCTTGGAATACAGTTCTTTATCAGTAAATCAGAATTATGGCGTTGCATTTCATGGAACTACAGCCAACATCTATTCTGATAACACATTTTATTCAACCTAGAAGATTGCAATTCTTTTTAAATTGCAGTAGTAGAATAGACAAGAAATGTGAAAAACCTGTGACTTCCCTTTGTGAGAAACTTCTCAAAAGTTTCTCTTTGTGGGAAATTTCTTAAAATGTTAACAGTGGACAGAAGCTTGTCTACCAATTTTATCAAAGGTATAGCTTTCTTGCAACTGGTCCCTGTTAATAGATAAAAAGAGCTGAATAATATTTTGTAAAACATTAGCCTTATTCCTATTAAAAATGCTTGGGTAAGTAGGCAGTTCTGGGGCAAAATCATGCCTGTTGCCTAATATCCAGTTATCTAGTCATTGTCCTTTCCTGTGCAATCTTTGACTCTCTTCAGAACGGTCAGATGGAAAAAATGCTGATTTGAAGATCAGGAGATGGACATGGAACTTAGGTTTATAATTTGGGTTGGCATGGATCCAATTGGTTAAGGAATGCTTTTGACTCCAGTAAACTGGCATGACCCAGTGACTGATTGATGGGTCTCAGCTGATGGATTCCAAGCAGGGATGGGATCTGACCAGTATAACTACCAGTTCTGTTGCTCTGCGTTGCGCTAGTCGCGTGAGTGGTGCAAGTGCGCAGCGGTTGGAAAAGCCCCTTTTTTTCCTGCTTTTTCAACCGCAGCTGTGCTGCACAAAGCAGCTGAGGTTGAAAAAGCAGGAAATAAAGGACAGGTAAGAGCCCGGGAGGGCAGGTGGACCAAAACAGCAGCAGACATAGAACCGGTTCTATGTCTGCTTCTCTTCAGAGTAACCAGTTCTACAGAGGTGGACAGAACCCATAAAAACCCACCCCTGATTCCAAGTCTTTGTTGAGTCATGATATCCACTGAGAATGTCTTGAGCAATTCACCAGCTCCCAATATTGGCCACAGTGGGTGAAATATTGGGCCATAGAGGGTGAAAGAACTAACTTAACTGTAGCAATAAAAGATAGTATTTGTTGACAGGAAGGGTCTTTGGTGCTGTGGTTGTTTTCTTGCAGGTGTTTCATTATCCAAACTAAATAGCACTGATGATGTTACCTAGTTTGGGTAATGAAATGTCTGGAAGAAAAGCAATCAAACTCAGAAATTCCAAGGACTCCTCCTCCTAACCTAACTGTTCCAAGCATGAGGAAGTGGTTGAAGGATCCAATCTGGGTTGGTCCCTGGTTTAGTCTTCCGAGCTTTTGGACTTGTGCTGGAACCCATCTTCAGGGAACTACTATATACCAGAATATGCAGAGAGAAGTTCCCTGAGGTTGGGTTTCAGTATGAGTCCAAAAGCTTGGAAGTCTAGACCTCTGGTACCAGTGACCATCTCGGATTGGATCTTGCAACATGGGACATGTATATTTGCCTTTAAAAGGAGTAGAAGACCCAATGTGGAATTGTCCATATTGAGTTAAACATGGTATGGGCTATACTGTGTATGATTTGATAGCTATCAATTTTAAGGTGTTTTTTAAAAAAACAAGCTGGGGTCATAACAGCAGTCTTTTCCACCTTAATTTGGAGCAAAGCTTGATTACCCTGGCTCCATCCATTGATTTACTCAAGCCTAAATTAATCCATGCTGTTGAAATCTTTTGGCCAGCTCCAGTTCCTATCCTTTCATTGACCCATTCTCTGGATTGGAAGTTCTCAACAAAAGGCATTTTTCCATTCTTAAATCTATCTTGGCTGTTGACTTTTAAGATCAGAAGAGAGGTTCGTGGTTTCCTTTTCCCATTTCCCGGCATTTGGGAGTTGCAATCACAAGACTACTGTGTGTATTCTGGTATTTCTTTGTTTTTGCAGCATCTGGAACCCAATGAAAGCTTAAGTGGCTGTCCTTATAAGAGTTGTATTCATGATTCAGCACTTCCCCATTGCCTATGTTCTTACAGTGCCCAGTTTACGTAATCCAGAAATAAGTCTGGGAAATTATGAGTTAGTGTCATTGTTTCTGGCAAGAGAATGAACATCTCGTATCCTTACAACGAGATTGCATCAACTGCCAGGATCTGACTTCCTGACTTGTGTCATTGCTAAGAATGTAACACGTTTCTGGTTAAGTATGGCAACATACATGTTGCTAAGCATGGTTACTCAAGAAGAAGATAACATAAGAACACAAGCAGTGTTCTGTTGGATTGGACTTCTGGCCCATCTAAAGGCAGTCCTTAACTTACAATTATATGTTAGTGATAGTTGAAATTATACCCACATTGAAAAAGTGACTTATGACTGTTTTCACAGTTATGACCATTGTAGCATCCCCATAATCGCATGATCAAAATTCAAAGGTTTGGCCATTGGCATGTATTTATGACAGTTACGGTGTCTCTGGGTTATGAGATCATCTTTTGTGACACCCTGACAAGCAAAGCCAATGGGAAAGTGAGATTCACTTAAAAACTGCGGCCAGAAAGGTCATAAAATGGGGGAAAACTCACTTAATAACGGTCTTGCTTAGAAAGGGAAATTTTGGGCGCCATTGTGGTTGTAAGTCAACGATTACTTTTAGCCCTTTCTCCACCAACTGCACAAGGAAGCCCTCCAGCGTCTCAGTAGGTAGCCTTCAGAGGGCATCTTGCTGTTGTTATGGCTGATAGCAAAGGATTCCCATCCTTATAGGTTGACCTCAGCAGCTTGGGTGATGCCACTGCAACCCTTAGATGCGTACTTAGCATACAGTGTCCACTCCTTTCCCCTAAACATATGACATACTGATATGTTCCAGGAAGAAATATCCAGCCATATTTAGCCAGAGGGACTTCCACAAAATCTTGCAGCATAGATTCAGTCCCTAATGGAAGGGCTTTTTATTGAGATTCTAGCCAGCTTGCCCTATCTTTCCTAGGGATACTATGAGGTGTGAATGGCTCAAGTACCTCTAAGTTTATATAAACTGGTTAATTCTATCTCCCAGTCCATTCTTAGGTTTTTTTAGGCAACAGTGCCGTCAGCGTCTGATTTTGCTATTACAGAGGGTACTTTTGTTAATCGCTGATATCTTGAAGTACAAGAATACCCACAATTGAAATCAGAATTTTTGTTGCTAAAGAAGGATTCAAAAGTTAAATGAGTCATGCCCTATTTTTCAATCATTTTTCTTGTGATTGTTGAGTCACTGCAGTTAAATGAATTAAACGTCTATGGAAATTCTCAGTCACCGAGGTCATGTCCCAATGGTGCTTTTCCAAAAGGCAACTGAGCTTTATTTTTTCTTGGACATTTTGCTTCTCATCTAAGAACGTCTTGGAGGACAACCAAAACATTTTCAAGAATAAAAAACTAAAGTCCAGTTGCCTTTTGGAAAAAAAAAAAAACCTTCGAGTTAAGGGAATTAAGGGGTCATTAAGCAAATCTGGCTTTCCCCTCCTTTACTTCACTCATTGGAAGACCCCTGGGAAGTCTGCATATGGTGATCTCATGACCTCAGCTGTCTGAACCGCATGGCCATTGCCAACTGCCTACATTTTGATTACATGATTATTGTACCCTATGACTATTAAGTGTTGTACCTTATGATTCTTGACTCTTGACAAATGTATCTTTTCTTTTATGTACACTGAGAGCATTTGCACCAAAACAAATGCCTTGTGTGTCCAACCACACTTGGCCAGTAAAGGATTCTATTCTATTCTATTCTATTCTATTCTATTCTGTTCTCTTCTCTTCTCTTCTCTTCTCTTCTCCTATTCTATTCTATTCTATTCTATTCTATTCTATTCTATTCTATTCTACTCTACTCTACTCTACTCTACTCTACTCTACTCTACTCTACTCTATGATTATGGGGAAGCTGCAACGCCAGTCTTAAGCGCAAGGAATGGTTGTAAGTCACTTTTTTAATACTGTTGTGATTTTGGTTGCTAAATTGAAGTTGAAAACTTCCTTTAACCCAATCTGCCCTAACGTAGGGTTCATCAGATACATTAAAGGTTCAAACCCCAACTCTTAGCCAGCCTAGAGTTTGTGACTGGTTCTAAAACCAGAAGTGATCCATCTGGGGTTAGCATTTTTTTAAAATAAATTTTTTAATGGTTTTTAAAACAAACATAAACAAATAAAACATAAAAACATCAAGTCATCTTCCATATATATACATACAGTGTGCCGGTTGGTTTACAAATTGTTTTGTGCTTCCATTTCATAGTCTTCAATTATGATTACATTGTATATAATCTCATATTTTCAGTCAAATATTAAATACATTAATATCATTATTAATCAATCATTTGACTATACTTTTATTCATTCATGTTTTACAAAATGATCATACTCTACTTAATTTGTTTTATGACAATTCATATTATCATCCTGAATCTATCCAAGTATCATTTTGTAGATATAATAAGAAAAGAATACATCTTTATATATTTATTATTTTCTAAAAGTCTACATATTTCATTGCTATATTTTATTGTCTAACCATTGATAGAATAGATCCCAAATTTTATAAAATTGTTTATCATCTTGTTCTCTAATTTCAAATGTCAATCTACTCATTTCAGCACATTCCAATATTTTCTTAATGATTTCCTCCTGTGATGGTATTTTCTCATTTTTCCAGTTTTTAGCAAATACAATCCTAGCCGCTGTTAATACATTTACAATCAAGTCTTTCAAGTCTTTACTATATATTTCAGGTAGAATTCCCAATAGAAATATCTCTGGTTTCAAATCTATATTTTTTTTGTCATTTTTTCCAACCACGTGTGGATTTTAGTCCAGCATTTCTTAGCATCCGCATAAGTCCACCACATATGGTAATATAAGCCAGGTGTCTGATGACATTTCCAACATTTTTCGGATTTATTCTTGAACATTCTTGCTATTGTTGGGGAAAAATGCCACCTGTAAAACATCTTATGCAAATTTTCTTTATATGCTGTTGACATTGTCATTTTATAATTTTGAGACCACAATTTTTGCCATTTCTCTAAATCAATCCCATATCCAAAATTCTTCCCCCAAGCAATCATAGTTTCTTTAACTTGTTCTTCTTCTAGTTTAATTTCTAATAAATATCCATACAATTTTTTAATCACCTTTTCATCAGTACCTGTCAAAATCTTATCTAAGTCAGTCAGTTTATCATAGAAACCTTCTGTTTTAGAATCTTTATCATACCTTGAATGTATTTGCTCATATGAAAACCAATTCATCTTTATACCTTGTTCCTCTAGTTTTTGTATAGCTTTAAGTTCACCCTTTTCATTCAATATTTCATCATATCTAACTGTTTGTTCCTTTTTGTATATTATAGAATAAGAAAATGCTTCAATAGTCGATAGCCAGACTGGAATTTTCAAATAACATTATCTTTTAATCTTCTCCCAGTTTAACCACAGAGACTCCCGTATATAATGTCGTCTAAAGTACCCCTGTGTTTTAGTTCCTTTATACCATAGAAAAGCATGCCACCCCAACAACAGATCATAGCCTTCTAATGTCAACAATCTAGTATTTCTTAATGTTATTCATTCCTTAACCCACATCAAATTTGTAGCTTGGTAATACAACTCCCAATTAGGTAAACCAAATCCTCCTCTTATTCTAGCATCTTGCAAAAGTTTTTATTCTCGCTTTCTTACCTTGCCATATATATTTCAACACAATTTTATTTAAATCTTCAAAGTAGTCTTTTCCAAGCCTAATTGGAATTGTTTGAAACAAATATAAAATTCTGGGTAATATATTCATCTTGATTGTTGATATTCTCCCTATTAATGACAGTTGTAAATTTTCCCATTTCGCCAGATCTAGCGCTATCTGCTGTTTAAGTTTGGTATAATTATTCTCTTTTAGTGGACTGCATCTTGCTGTCAAGTATATCCCCAAATACTTAACCTTGTTCGTAACCCGAATTTTCAATAAGTCTGCCAGTTCTTCCTTTTGTCTTGATAGCATATTCTTTGTCAAGATCTTTGTCTTATCTTTATTTATTTTCAAACCAGCCACCTTTCCATATGTCTCTATCTTTTCTATCAATTTTGATGCTGTTTCTAGTGGGTCTTCTAAGATGAAAACCAGATCATCTGCAAATGCTTGCAGCTTAAATTGTTCCTTTTTGATTTTCATTCCTTTTATATTCTTTTCATCTCTAAAATTTCTGTTTAGTACTTCCAAAGTTAACACAAACAACAAAGGTGATAGTGGGCACCCTTGTCTTGTTCCTTTTCTTATATTGATAGAGTCTGTCAGTTCTCCCTCTATCATTACCTTTGCCGTTTGCTTATGATATATAGCTTCTATTGCTTGAATAAATTTTCTAGCAAAACCCATCTGTTCCAACAGTAATAACATGAATCGCCAATTCACATTATCAAATCCATCTGGGGTTAGCATTTTGTCTTCAGTATCTGGGAAGTTTTCCAAGAGAGCTTATGGAGATTCTCAGTCATCCAGGTCATGGTTGCCCCAAAGGTGCTTTTTCAAGAGGCAACCGGACTTCCTTTGTTTTTCCTTGAAGACGTTTTCGCTTCTCATCCAAGAAGCTTCTTCAGTTCTACCTAGCTAAATGTCTGTGGAGATTCTAGGTCATCCAGATGATGCCTGAAGAAGCTCCTTGGATGAGAAGTGAAATGTCTTCAAGGAATAACAAAGGCAGAGGTGGTATTCAGCAGGTTCTGACCAATTCTGGAGAATTGGTAGCAGAAATTTTGAGTAGTTCGGAGAACCAGCAAATACCACCTCTGACTGGCCCCGACCCCATCTATTCTCTGCCTCCTGAGTCCCAGCTGATCAGATGGGTCTTCTTTGGTTGCCCTGCACAGGAGAACGGAGCTGGAAAGCAGGTTAGTGGGGTGGGGAGGGAATGGGGATTTTACAGTATCCTTCCCCTGCCACGGCCACCAAGCCACGCCCACAGAACCAGCAGTAAAAAAATTTGAATCCCACCACTGGACAAAGGAAGTCCAGTTGCCTCTTGAAAAGCACCTTTGGTCTTTCAAGAGAGGTTGTCCACATTTTAACTTCTAGACCCAGGCATGGCTCTCCCTTAGAGATCTACTGAGCATTGGCCTAACCCTGTTGAAACCGAGACATTTTCATACTGCCTGTTTCACAAGAAAGGGTATGACGAATATTTGGACCCAGGATCAAAGCTCTAGTCAGCAAACAGTATCAAATAAAATGCTTGTCCCCTGAACAAGCAGGACTCCTTGTTCTTGTGCAGTTTTTTAAAACAAAGCATTACATTTTCTGAGTGACGGTGGTCGTACACATGTGCACTCACAGAAGGCTGTGCTGCAATACAAGTTCCTTCTTTGCAGGCTGGGAACCAATGAGGCATTTTCCTGGCTCACACACCCTTCAGGAGATCAGCCAATCAGGAGCTAGAGATGTCTCAGCAACCTCTATTCCCCCCCTCCCCCGCCAAGTGTGGAAGGAGATTTTATGATGCAAAATCAGGTGCTCTGCTTTCATTGGTGGTGGTTATGGGTATCTTACATCCTCATATTTTTTTTTTCTTATGGTGCCTTATTAGAACCTATAATTTTCTGTTTTATGGTGCCCTAAAGGCTTTTCACGTCATCAGCCTGGGCACATAATCCTATCCAAATTCCAGTAATCCAGATTCTTACAGCATCTGGAGGTCAAAAAATGGGGCAACAAATTCACTTAACAACTGTCTTCCTTAGCAAAGGAAATCTTGGGCTCAATTATGATCGTAAGTCAAGGATTACCTGAGTTTCATGCCTCTTTAATACCCGATGGATCTCTGGCTCCTCTCTTTTGCTTCTCTGTCCTTACTCTTCCATAATTCAGTGGATTGACCCCTGAACCAGTAACAATCTGGATTTTCCTGTCTTGAATAATCTCTGCTGCTGACGGCCATAGATGCCACTGCACACAGAAAGAGGAAGAAAAGATTTGCATAACACGTTTGCTGTACTTTGTTTACCAGCATGACATACGCTCTGGATTTGCGCAATAATTTACAGTTACCGATCCAATAACTGAACCTGACATCGCCCCAAGTAGAAAAAAGACAAGTAAAAAGTTTGAAACCAACTCTATTTTTCATGTTATGTGAATACACGTAATCCTCGACTTACAACCACAGTTGAAACCAAAATTTATGTTGGTAAGGGAGACATTTGTTAAGTAAGCCTTGCTACATTTTATGACCTTTCTTTCCACAGTTATTGAGTGACTCATTTGCATTTGTTAAATTAGTAACATAGTTGTTAAGTGAATCTTACTTCCCCGCTGATTTTGCTAGTCAAAAGGTCACAAACCCTGATTACATGACACTGCTACCCTCATAAATATGAACCAGTTGCCAAGCATCTGAATTTTGATCATGGGAATGCTTGCATGGTCATTAAGTGTGAAAAATGGTCATAAGACTTTTTTTCAGTGCCGTTCAGTGGTGGGATTCAAAAATTTTTTACTATCAGTTCTGTGGGTGTGGCTTGGTGGGCATGACATGGTATGGCTTGGTGGGCGTGATAGGGGAAGGATACTGCAAAATCCCCATTCCCTCCCCACCCCCTTAACCTGCTTTCCAGCTCCGTTCTCCTGTGCAGGGCAACAAAAGAAGACTGCCAATCAGCTGGGACTCAATGGGAGGCAGAGAAGAGATGGGGGCGGGGCCAGTCAGAGGTGGTATTTGCCGGTTCTCCGAACTACTAAAAATTTCTGCTACTGGTTCTCCAGAACTGGTCAGAACCTGCAGAACCTCTGGTGCCGTTGTAACTTTGAACGGTCACGAAGTAAACTGTTGTAAGTTAAGGAGTATCTGTAGGAGTACTCCTCAAAAGTAAGAGTACCTAGTTTTTAACTGACTTCATTAAATCAGTCATTCAGCTAATGAGGAATGTAGATTGGACTGGAGCAATGTGGGGTTTTCTTAAATTTTATTTTTTGTTTGCAAATATTGGTGGCTAGTGGGCAAACTGTGAGCAAACACAACATAATGTCTGAATCTGTGCAGGAGAGAAACAGAAAGTTTAGTGAGAATCAAGGGAGGTGAATTGATAGGGTTTTTTTCCCCTTGTCATCTGCTCCCTAATCACACACACAGTTTTTTCCCCTCAGCATCTTAGTGTGCTTGTGCTGATAATAATCTTGAAAGTGGCAAAGGTTTGTTGTAAGACTTTATGACTTAGCTTGGGAACGTGACTTTGAGCCGGATGCATTTATCCTGATCTGGTTTCTGCTCTGTTTTCCAATCTCACCCACTTGAAAATGGACTTCTGGACTTCTCTTCCCAGAATCCCCCCAAGACTCCTATCAGCTCTCTCTGGTATTCTATGACTATGATAATGATTTATCACTTATAACTTTTATGTACAATGAGAGCTTATGCACTGAAGACAAATTCCTAGTGTGTCCCATCATCCTTGGCCAATAAAGAAATATAGATTCTATTCCTATTCCTATTCTGTTCTGTTCTGTTCTATTCCTGTCCTCTCCTCCCCTCCCCTCCCCTTCCCTCCCCTCTCCTCCCCTCCCCTCTCCTCTCCCCTTCCCTTCCCTTCCATTCCATTCCCTTCCCTTCCATTC